CAAAGTCCACCTTACTCCAATTCCACACATATTCCAGTTGTTTGTCCATGCTCTTCAGCTGGTGAGTTGCCTAGCAAGCAATTTAGAAATGGCATTGGAATCCCAGCTGAGCATCAAAGCACTGTCTGAAGTATTCAGTGCCAATACTCATGTGTGCTATCAGGGTGTCTACTTCTCCTGGGACACTTGCCTGCTACTCTCCGTATGTATAGTGCATGTGTATAATCTACCCTACATGTCCTTGCACGATTAGAGCCCTCTCTTGAAACAAAATAGAAGCCAATGCAAGTACGGTTTGTGGGTGTGAGTGGATTTTCGGTATAGTTATTGTACACTCCCCTTGGGCCTTGTTCTCATTTACCGACTGAGAGAAAATCTCTACACTTAGCAAGTGTGCTTGTGTGTTCGCCTACTTGTCTGGTGATCTGTGTGTGTGTGTGTGTGTGTGTGTGCGCGCACGCGTGTCCGTGCATGTGCATGTATGTGTATGTGTTTTCCTAGGAGAGAGATATTGATGCCCAGCGAATCAGGGGAGGAATGGGTTTCGTTCGCCTGTGTGATATGTATGCCCACGCCATGGCGCAACAGGTACATTCACATCCATGTGCCCGTGCTCGTATACATTAGCACAATGCACACTCTCTTGTTCTACACATGCACGTATGCAGATACGCATGCACGTTTTGCACATGCACACTCTGATGCTAGTGTGCTTATACACGTTGTACAGATCTGTACTGCAGTCCAGCTCATAGTTAGTGGATGCTGGCATTATCTATGGGCAGCTCAAGTGGTTGCAAGCTCCACAGAACCCTGTTGTGTTGGGAGCACTTTCCAAGAAGAAAACAAGCCAGGGCCATTTCCTGTACAGAGGAACGCTTTTTAAAGTGCGCAGACTCCACTGCAGCCAATTCATTTTACAAGATCGCTCAAAACACACACACACATATACGGCCTATAAACTGCAATATAAAAAATAAATAAATTCTCCATCAATATTTTGGCCCTGGGCCATCATAAGAGGAAAGCTGCCCAAGAACAAGCTTGTACCCAGTAACAGCTTCCAGCCCATTGCGAATGAAAGAAGGAGAAAATATGAAGTATAATTATTGCTTCTCCGTGACTCATGATGGAACGTGTATCCAGTCCCGGTATGCTGGTTTGGCACAAACACTACAGACTCCCAACCGGGTCGGTACGCATGTGTGTATGGGATATTAGTGCAATTGTACATTTACTTTTTAAGTACAATGCATACACTTGCACATTGCCCATAGGAACTGATCGGTCGAGGCCAGTTTTTTCTTTTTTTTTGGTTTAAAACTATATGTTTCCAATTGATCCAATTCCTGGTAGCTAGCCAAGCTCATGAGGCTAGCTTTGTCTCTTTTCCCTCTTACCATACATGTACATAATAATGTACATGCACATATTATATTATATGTGTGATATGCTCTACTTCTATGCTGTACAGTCTCTGCTGGATGGTGCGTATGAGATGGTCAAAGCACAGTGGGACACCAGTACTATGCGACTGCGCCAGTTCTTCTCCGAAGGGTTGATGTGTGCCTGGTTAGTGCTACTGTTGTTGTGTATATGTGTGTGTCTGTGTGTGTATGTGTGTGTGTGTGTGTGTATGCCGTGTGTGTGTGTGTGCATGTGCATGTACACCGTAACATGTGTATGCACACACGTATGCCCCCATACACAAGTGTGACACACACAGATGTGTGTTTACGTGCATACCAACATCCTGCTTATGCGCATCATACCGTGCTTTTTTGTTTACTGTGCAGTAAGGCCCTACCAACGTTTGAGCAGCAGCAAACTGTCGTCAATATGATACTACAACCAGCGTGTGACATTTACCTATCGGACGCTGTTCAAAGGTAAACACAATGACTGATACTCTCACACTCGTTAGAATGATAATGATTGCCTTTCCTGGTGTTCAGTGCTAGTCTACCGACTTTGTTCATCGGCCCACTAGCGTCTTGTCAGTTTAAATGCACTAGTTGACTTGACTAATGGCAGCATGTTACAGATACTTGTACAAGGAGATTCTTGGCCGATGCAAGGATATCGAGTTTAGACCAAGGTGCATGTCATGTATACGTGGACTTGAGAGTTCACATCTCCTCGCAGAGTTTCAGTGGGACTCGACCTGGGGCAAGTGGAGTGTGCGTTTCTGTGGGACTTGGCCAGGGACAAATGAAGTGTGTGTTACAGTACTGTGGGCCTCATCCCGGGACAAGAGAAGTGCCTGTTTACATATGTGAGACTCAGGCTGGGACAAGTGTTTATATTATAAACACTTGTCCATGTTGTGCAGAATCCAATCCATTCACCCTGGGATGAGGTTGAGTAAGTTCTGTCTGGGTCTAGCCCCACCCTGTGTCCACAATCATGTAACAGTTATACCCATGTGACTGTGTGTGTTCTAGACTATGGCGTAGTCACACTGAGTTCACTCCGGTTTAGGTAATTGTACGTTTTGTCGCATAGTAAAACATCTTGGTGGAAAGAGGCCGGTGACTTTTTGTAACTTTCTCTGCTCTTATTTCAAGTCTCTCCTCTCTTTTTCTCTTCATTTGTTGCCGTGTCTCTGTGGGTATCCATGTTTACCTCTCGCGCAGGGCCGTTTCATCACCTGCTGAATTTGCAGAGTTTGTGGGCATGAGTTCGTCTGCCTGTGGAGCAAGTCCAGAAGGTATGTGTGGCACACACTTCAGATGTACCGTAAAGTACCGCCAAAGCGCCCACCATCTCGTCCTTTCGTGGCCGCCTTGTGGAGGTGGATTCCTGTCTGTAGGTCATACGACACGGACCTTGTACAAACATTGCACATTGTGCAGTCAATCCGTACCCAGTTTACCTTCGAGCTCCACATAAAAGCATACCAAGTGTGACCTTAGTACACGAAGGTTCTCACATCGTACAAACTTAGTAGCATTCTGCCATACGATTTTCTTCCCTTGGCTGTAAAATCAAGGTGGGGCCCTCTCGCGAGACGGGGCGCTCTGGCGGTACTTTACGGCACATATACTTCGGGGTGTACCGGCATGCCTGGATACAACACACACTTCAGAAGTACATACTTCGGGGTTTACCGGCATGCCTGGATACAACACACACTTCAGAAGTACATATACTACGGGGTTTACCGGCATGCCTGGATACAACACACACTTCAGAAGTACATATACTTGGGGGTTTACCGGCATGCCTGGATACAACACACACTTCAGAAGTACATATACTTGGGGGTTTACCGGCATGCCTGGATACAACACACACTTCAGAAGTGCATATACTTCGGGGTTTACCGGCATGCCTGGATACAACACGCACTTCAGAAGTACATATACTTGGGGGTTTACCGGCATGCCTGGATACAACACTCACTTCAGAAGTGCATATACTTCGGGGTTTACCGGCATGCCTGGATACAACACACACTTCAGAAGTACATATACTACGGGGTTTACCGGCATGCCTGGATACAACACTCACTTCAGAAGTACATATACTTCGGGGTTTACCGGCATGCCTGGATACAACACACACTTCAGAAGTACATATACTACGGGGTTTACCGGCATGCCTGGATACAACACACACTTCAGAAGTACATGCCATTGTACGTACAGTAAAACCTGTAACTAAAGACCACTGTGACTAGCGACCAGCCTGGTACTACCGACCACTTTGCCAGGCACCGACGGTCTCACATTCATATATGGTTGTGCGGTGCAAACCTCTTAACTAAGGACCACCTGCCACTAAAGACCGCTTTCTCTGGCCCCAGGGCCAAGGGGTGGTCGTTAGTCACAGGTTTTACTCTACATGTAGTGCAGTTTGTGCCTGGATGCTTGTACTCATGCCTGGATGCTTGTACTCATGCCTGGATGCTTGTACTCATGCCTGGATGCTTGTACTCATGCCTGGATGCTTGTACTCATGCCTGGATGCTTGTACTCATGCCTGGATGCTTGTACTCATGCCTGGATGCTTGTACTCATGCCTGGATGCTTGTACTCATGCCTGGATGCTTGTACTCATGCCTGGATGCTTGTACTCATGCCTGGATGCTTGTACTCATGCCTGGATGCTTGTACTCATGCCTGGATGCTTGTACTCATGCCTGGTAGGCCTAGCCCAAATTTGCTCGGGGCGCTTCGATATTTTGCCGGCATATTTTGCCCGATCACCTTCCATATTTTGCTCGGCATTGCCTTTCGTTTCCGATATTTTGCTCCATTTTGCTCCTGCTTTGTGGCAAAAATGGCTTCGAATGAACCGTCTACTTTGGTAAAAGTGGATGGTGACTCTGATGAGGAAAGCAAAACTTATAATGGTGTCAGTATTACGGATTTGGTAGCATGATTTCAAATTGATGTACCACTGACAACCTGCACGAGCTATTTCAGCACGACGTTGGCCCAATGAAACCAAAGAAATTTGAATAAAATTGCCAAAACACACCCGGATCCTCTGTAAATTCGATATTTTGCTCGGAATTTGCCAGCAATTTCTTTTCGTTGGAAAATTCGATATTTTGCTGGAAGAATTGCCGGCAAATTTGGGCTAGGCCTAATGCCTGGATGCTTGTACTCATGCCTGGATGCTTGTACTCATGCCTGGATGCTTGTACTCATGCCTGGATGCTTGTACTCATGCCTGGATGCTTGTACTCATGCCTGGATGCTTGTACTCATGCCTGGATGCTTGTACTCATGCCTGGATGCTTGTACTCATGCCTGGATGCTTGTTCTCATGCCTGGATGCTTGTACTCATGCCTGGATGCTTGTACTCATGCCTGGATGCTTGTACTCATGCCTGGATGCTTGTACTCATGCCTGGATGCTTGTACTCATGCCTGGATGCTTGTACTCATGCCTGGATGCTTGTACTCATGCCTGGATGCTTGTACTCATGTCCAACATCTCCAACATGTCCAACATGCACTATTTCTGTAACCGGTCTGAATGTTAGGCGCCTTTGTCAATTTCATCCATGCAAGATGCTGCTTAGCTGCTACAGATTGATACATGCAACATGACTGATTGTGTGTCTACAGCTCTGCAGCTATTAGAGAGGTTCCGGGGTACGATTTTCCGTGCCAAAATCCGTATGGGCGGTACGGATTTTTTCCAGGCGTGCTCCATACGATTTTTCGGGGACTAGCTTTCATACGAACCATGTTTCGTATGGAGATTTTGCGTCATCGGGTGCAGAAAGATTTTTCGCGTACAAATTTGGTACGAGAAACATCGGTTTTCCGCGGGAAGTTTTGATTACGGTACAAATTTTCAAAATAAAAAGGCATAGCGCGAGAATGTGACGTGTTTGCGATCGTAATCTAGACAATGACGGCAAACACATGAGTTCCGTACTCCGGAACATTTCTCTGCTGGAAAACGACGTATAGAAAATCCGTAGCGCCTCTACGGATTTTGGCACGAAAAATCGTACTCCGAAACCTCCCTATTTTCTGTGTGTGTATGTGTGTGTGTGTGTGTGTGTGTGTGTGTGTGTGTGTGTGTGTGTGCCAGCTAGTTTGGTTGGTGGGTACACTTATGCCAGATAGTGTTGGGCCTGTTGCCAACGGGCTCGGCTGCTTGAAGGTGTATTGTTGTACCTACCACCTTTGTTGGTTTCAGGGTTCATATACTTTCTATTTGAAGTATACATACCTGTTAACCATGGACTGCTTCTGGCTAGATTAACTCTTGTGTAATCAATGGTGCTAGTGAAGCTTATATCAGATCCACTCTGATTTAGCCACCCACACTAGTACCAAGTATTACCTTCACTGGGGGCAGGGGTACCTGCAGTTGGATCCCGGGACGGATACCCTGATGCTGTCAATCCTTTTTTCTGCACCTTGTCCTCACCCACTTACTGAGGTGTGGTGAGCCCATAAGTGGGATCATTTCAAGTCCACCCTAGTTTGGGGATTTCAGGGGGTGTCGGCCGTTGGGTGGTTCAATGGCCAATTGAGTCATCTTTCCAAGATTCCTTTTGAGTCTCTCTCCCCTCTCCCGGGGAGACCCACGTGACCAGTTTTGGCAGTGAGCAAGTACAAGTAGTACAAGTACAAGTGTGTGTGTTTGTGTGTGCGTGTGTCTGTGTGTGCGTGTGTCTGTGTGTGTGTACACCCGTGTGCACACACCTCTATGCATGTGCCCATCCGTTTACACGCGCGTGCACGTGCCTCTGTGCATGTGTCCATCTGTTTACCCGTTGTCTATCTGTGCTGTGTCTCTTAGTGAAGGAGTTACACACGAAGCAACGTATCAACGTGAGTGCATCTCTTTGAATCGATTTTCTGTTGAAGGAAACGAACTAGCTCATGAAGCTTGAACAGAAGCCACTGGAAATGTTGATAAGGCCTTTCGTACCATTACTCTTCAAAGTGGGTGTGTTGGTGACACAAGCACCAGCAAACAAGTACTTATATCTAGCTTTCTCTGATCTCTCTGACCGCCTAGAAAGCTACCGTATTTCCCAGGTGTGTTAGCCGCACCAGGGTCTAAGCCGCACCCCCGTTTCGGGCCCAAAATCCGTATCTTTTTCCACATTCGGAGTATAAGCCGCACATCAGAGTTTGAATGTTTGGCCATCCAGATTTGATTGGTACTGATACCACACAAGACGTTTACCAATGGTTAGAGAGTTGAGAAGCACGACTGAAGTTCCGCAAAAGTTCTTTGTTTGTCCCTCACTCTGAACTGACAACATAGCAGCATCGTACAACTGCAATGATAGATTTCTGTGCAGGAAAAGTACATACTTCGGTAAAAAGAAGTTGAATGATACCGTTCATGCGTTTTTTGCATGACACCCTAGATGTGACAGAACTGTTTGCAGCTAGATAGATTCATGTGATATTCGGCATGCGTTGGTCGCCAGTTCACAGACTATGTACTTGTGCATTCACAATGTACTATGTACAGTCTACCCCCAGACCATGCAGCTCACCCACATCTTCTTCACTATCATTGAGTGCCTGCTCTACTGTGGCCATACTGACGAGGGCAGTTCTGCTCATAAACCGACTCAAGGCAGTGCTTATCTGCTTCTCTCAACCTGCCGCATTTGCCGCTCCGTCCTATAAGCCTTATTCCCCTCCTAGAAGAACTGTGCTTTACATCAGTCAGTATTTTGCTACATGTACATGGAAGCATTTCGTATCGTGTGATTTGCAGTGGGCTGGAGACTTGAAGCTGTGATAACATGGTTGAATGTGTGGTTGATTTCACAGCTGGCGTTTGCGGCGCATGTGCTGACGATAATCACGAAGAGGAGTGGCAATATGATGGTGAGTGGTGGTTAGATGACTATGAAGTGTTCTTTTTCTCAGTTTGTGAATATTATTCACTTACGGAATATACAGTAAAACCTGTAATGGCGATCACTCGGATATGGAGACCACTCGACCATGGCGACCAGTTTCCTTGTCACGGACGCATTCACATTCAAAACACCTCGGATAAGGCGACCACTCGCTCAACGCGACCGACGACCACCCACCCGCGACCGCGTTCCACAGTGCTAGTCATGTAAATGTATGCATTGCATGGTGCACCAGGCATGGTAGATCTACACATCAGTGCAGGAAGTGTAGATGTACATTGTGCATGCACGACATTTGACAGGTCTGAGGACCCCAGGCACATGAGTCGTGCTAGAGTAGCATAGCTGTGTGCACTGTGATGCACTGATCAAAAATGACGTATCACATGTGGATATGGTCACATGACCCACTGAACCTGGATAAGAAGACCACCTGGCCACGGCGACCCCTTTTTCTCGTCCCTTGAGGGGTCGCCTTAGGCAGGTTTCACTGTAATTGATTTACAGTAAACTAGGGGCCGCTGATCCTAGGTTGTCTGATGAATGCGGTCGGTTTGCTCTCTTTGCTGTGTTATACTGTACTTAGTACTTGCGACAAGCCCAGTCATCAGCAGGTCTTGCCGGCATTGGCATTGCATTGGCTGCAACTAATAGCGGCGGCAGCGCCATCACGGCTAATCCCGGCTGGCAGCCTGTGCAGCAACTTCTTCCGCACGCCTTCCGCATGATCAGGTCAGTGCTGCTTGTTCTGGCATGCAATGCTGCTGCTGCTTTGTGAGTTGGCAGCAGCACCAAGAGTGCATGAACCAGAGTGTGCTGCAACTCGGCATGGGAAGTTGGAAAGCGGAGAAGCGGAGTTCATTGTGCATGTATGTGTTGCTTTGGACATCGAGGTAGGATAAAACAAACTGCTAATGCCATGGGCATGTCGAAGCAGCGCGAGACTGCAGTCGTGAATTGGACGTCTGTGAGTCGCTGAAAATACCGCACTAGTAAACAACAAACTCCACTTTGCTGACCTCAAATGCAGAGTTGTTTTGGTCTTTGACCGCTCTGTGGTGGGTCCGATCTTCACAGCTCGCAGCGCTTTAAGAGCTGTGCTTTGATCCTTGAGAATGGTGGCATTCCTACGGATGCAGAAATACTAGTCTGACTGAGTCTCCTGCTAACCTTTCAAATTGTACACGGAGTTGCACATTCTGGTTTATGTAACTCAATTTTCTGGTCACCAAAGTTAGGGCCACTCTACTCTACCGGGTACCCATCAGATGAGGTTTAGTAGATGTATACAACGTTTGATCCCCACTGCATCCCAGCTGTTTTTCAATGCGGGATTTGACACAGCGTGTGTAAAGCCGTGATAGATTGAGGATCCATAATGGGCTATTTACATATGCCGTCCCTACTGCATACCAGCTGTTTTCCAGTGCGAGATTTGATCCCAGATCA